ATTCTTCATTCCTGCAAAGAATATACCTAATGTACAGATCTTTTATACAGGCACCTCAGTACAACTTTTTAAAGTATACTCTTAAGTAATTAATTCTCCAACATTAATTCCACAGTCATCATGAAAAAGAAAAACTATTACCTGGCAGTGGTTTTGGTACATTTTTAGATCCTTCCGGAGTTTCAGATTTTCCTCTTCTAGTTTATTCTTGTTTATTGCTATTTCATTCACAGTTGCCTTTAGCTTTTCAATAATCAACTCATCCTTTTCACTTTCAGACTGGCCATAGGTAATTACCTCTTCTTGGTTTTGTTTCTTATTGCTTATATGGAATTGATAATTCTGGGTCTGCATCTATAAAACAAGAAAATATTTTAAAATCAATTCAATAATTGTATGTCAATTGCTAGGACAAAACTGTTACTACTAAAATCATAAAGGTATTTCCATCTTCACCAGGATTTGCTTAGAAAAGATGGCACAATTGGAACAGTTTGCATTACTTCTCTAAAGGTTACTTCCTTTTTCAGCTCCTTTTCCTCAGTAGAAAAAAATGTTTCAGAAACTTTCAAGGGCACAGAATTTTTTCAAGGATTTTTCTCCTCTGCTGTGTATCTCCCTAGCACTTAATTAGCCTCAAAAGTGAAAAAGGTGGTTATGATGACCTACTCAAAGCAGTTACCTATAAAAATAATTTGAAAGAAATGTTCTTCTTTGATTCATTGAACTCAGTAGGAGTTGTGTGTGTGTGTGCCTCAGGACAGACATTAACCTTTGACTAGAGGGCTAGCATTACATACTTCATGTATAAACAGCTCAGTTACTAGAGGAACTGTACTTCGGTATCATTATCCTTAAACTTGGGGAAGACTCATTTGTACATTCTGCAGAGTCCCACACTCCATTCAGTTTCTTGTACTAATTAAAATCATAAATCCAAAACTTCAGAAAATTGGTATGGCCAGTATTTGTGAATTCACAGGCATCATGAAGAAGCATAATTACTATGGTAACTGTTTTTGCTGTTAAAAAAACTATCCACATGGATCCCTCTACTGGGAAATTAACAAGCAGCAGTAATCTTTCAGGAGACTGAGAATTAGCAGAAAAATGGCAACAAAATATAACCTGGAAACCATATATCATGTGCAGAGATCAAGTTGAGGTCACCTTGACATCTAAGTTATGGAGTCTGACATACCAAAACGTCAAAGCATCCTGTGAAAAATATAGTGCAAGATTCCAACTAGAAATCAAGGACCTCACAAAAGAGGAATTTGAGGCAAAGACACAGGACCAGTTAATGTTTTTGAAATAGTTAAGGAGTAACAGTCCATCAGACTTCTATTTAATAACTTCTATTTAATAAATTAGTCGGTGTTATGTTACAGTTGTGAAGAAAATTGTCTTCAAAGAAAGTTCACTGATGGCAGTGGAAGCCTCAACAGAAAAATGTGAATGATCACCTTAAGTACTGTATTTTGACTTGTCTAACTGTATAATCAACACATCTGCATGGAAGTTCAATAGTTGCAATATAATGCTTTCAGCATCTAAACCCAAAACTTAACTGTTATCCTTGGAAATGCTGGATATGAGTAAAGAGTCTCACAGGAATTGTTATGAAAATGTTTCGCTAGATTAAGATCCAGTGAGCTTAGTAACAGTGGAAAAGGGGATTACCAGTCAGCAACATAATTGGCTTCCTCTTACTTAATTTTTGAGCTGTCTTGTGGTCCAGTTAATTTTTAAGTTATTTTCTAATTTTTTCTAGACCAGGTTAGGTCATCAAGACATCATTAAATCAATATTTTGATCTGGATTGGAATGAATTAAAAAAAATAAAAATATGCTAGATCAATAGGCTTAATAAAGAAAGTAATAAGCAAATTGGCAAGTAAAAAAGAATAACAAAGTCAGCCAAGGACTGAATGGTAACTTGAAAGCTGAAAAATATGATAAAAAAGGATAAGTGATCCAACAAACAACTCCAGGTGTGATTCTGGAGTAGCATATAGAAACTCATTTTTCTGCGTAAATTATAATGATGTATATTTATGATCTTCAAAAAAATGAGAGCTATCTTAGATTTGAGAGAACTTTATATTTGAGTCAACATAGTAATGGCATCTACTACTTACTTGGTAAGATACTTTTCAATAACTTCTCATCGCAATTAATTGCGTATTAGTAAATAGCATAGAATTATCTCCACAGTATATGTAAAAAGTAAAAAGTTTTTTTTAATCAGAAATGTTGTAATTTTCATCATGATACTTATTCATTTTCTCATTTTCATGAGAAAAATGAATTAAAATAACTGTATGTATCATTAGATCTTTCAGTATGGGTCTGCCTGACCTAAAGCAATGTATTCACTACCAATATATCCATGTATTGTCAGATTCACTATAAGCTTAGTGCTGTTCAGATTTTTTAAATTAAGTTTAAATAACTCTAGCTGAGGTAACAGCTCATTTTCTTCACAAAGCAGGAAGGTAGGCATTTTACCTGAAAAAAATTACATTTCTCGGGCAATAATTTTTGTTGAGCATCTAAATAAATGAGATCATTTTGGCAGATTGTCCCCTTCTTATCCCATTCTCTTGATTTTGCCTTAAATTCCTGAAAGACAGCAAAACAAGGCTAGTAAACACAGGGAAAATAACTTTTTTCCTTTATCTAAATAACTTTGTTATTAAAAAACTAAGAAAAATCTAGGCTTTTAATTAATACGTAATCTTTTCATAATTTTGGAATGAAGAAAAAAAGAACAATTATATAATCCAGCCATCCAGTCATCCCAACCAGAAAAAATCCAGTCTTAAGGGCTGTTAATCTGAAAAAAATGGGTTGTAAGCATAATCATTGAATAAAAATAACAAAATATTTTAAAATACTTCCATTGCTGTAAATCTTAGAGCTATGACTATAATACACCTATTTTATTGGAGGGTAGATCCTGTGACTCTAAAGCTATAACAGTGTCAAGCAGAGTAATCAGCAGGGAATCATACCCTTAATATTCAGACCAATGTTTTGAGAGCTTGCTTTTTTCTTTTTTCTTTTTTTTTTTTTTTGAACAAATGGGACAGCAGCTACTGTGAATAAATTTTACTTCTTGCTCTCTTTACAATTGCTGCTTCTGGTTCAGAGTTCACCTAGTTTAAACAGAAACTTGTTTAACAAATTCTATTATATCAGATTTATCTAATACTGTTGTTGTATTTGCACTTATATTCCTATTTATAGTGTATTTGAATTTGCTTTTAAATCATACCAGATCTTATATGTTCACAACTAGACTTTAAAGACAGTATCCTATAAAATAAGTAGAATTCCAGTTACTAGAGCTGTTGCTCTTTTAGTTTGAAGAATTAGCAAAATAACAGTATACTGTTTTATACAGTGAAAACTATAATACTTATAAGCTGTTATGAGAACTTCCTTTTTCACAAGGGAAATGTTGGTTCCAAAAAGATAGGTGATTTTTTATAATTAGCCTAAACTGGTGTATTCCCTAAATTTAAAAAAATAAGGTTTTATTTTCTACTGAAACAAAATTGAATGCTTTCCAACCTAGATTAATACACATCTTCTCTTATAGCTTTCCTAATATCTGCCTTGGCATTTTAAACCAATAAACATCTTCCCATTTTACAAAATGTGATACAAATGGAGTTTCAGACTACTTAATGAGGACTGCAGGTTCAAGGCCTTACTAAAGCACTGCTGAACTTAGTAGATTTTCAACATGGTAATTATTTCCTGAATACTAGAATTTGCTGAATATATTCCAAGCACTCATTTTTCATACTGCATAATTAATCAAATTATAGCATTGTGTTACATTATTTTCACATTTTAATCTTGAATAAGGTTGTTCTCAAATTAGCTGGATCAGATAGTTTCACAGTAGTGATATATTTAGTCAATGATAGATGTATAATGCATCTATTATTCTTGTAGTAGCAGATGTTGGCAGCTATGCTGCAGTCCAAAGTGTAGTAGCTTTTCTGATGGTAGGGACTCTTCCATGTGGAAGAGACAGTAACATTATGTAGAGCTAGAATGTGTCTAGGATGTGTTGTGTTATGCGGGTGCAGGCACCTGAAGTTAGCAGAAGTTAGTCCTATATCTTACAGAATAATATTGAGGATAGGCAAGTCCAAAATAAAGGTCCTAAAACCCTGCTTAATTGCAGCTTAAGTGTGGAAATACTTAAAATCTACTAGATCTTATTTTTTTGATTGTAAAGTTCTCAAAGTGTCTAAATCATCTAAATAATATATCTACATAAATCTACATCACAAGCCTGTAAGTTTTCACAATGCTTAGCAGCTAGGCAACTAGCTCACACTTTCAACTGGTATTCCTCTGCTTACTTTCCCTAGAGGACCCAGTTTAGTAAACGCTTGAAGCACACACTGCTTTATTATGCTCTTTACAAATGGTGGCCAGAGAAAATGTAAATTTTTTTTGTGATCCTCCTATGCTTCATCAGACTAGTGGTTAGACTGTTCTCCCTGTATGTGCAAGATTCAGTTTAATAATCTTCTTTCCAGACAGAATCTGAACCAGAATCTTCCCATGTTAGTTTTCTACCTAACAAACTAATGTTATTTTTCAACAGGATCTGGAATTCTTCCTTTTGAAGTCATTTCACTTTGCACAGGATACCAGCAAATTTATTGGATAAGTAAAAAAGAAGCAGCAAAAATTAGCACAGCTAGAGATTACGTCGCTCAGTTATAAGAAATAAGACTGGATATCAGTTTCTGCAGCAGCGAATGTAGCCAGAAGAGTATTTGGGGAGAAGCCACCACTTGGACGCACGCTCTCTGTATGCCAGTTCTCTGTGCTGGCTAACCCTCCTGGTGGCTCAATAAATATTGGATTATTCCACAGATCATACTAACTCTGAGAAGTTAAGGCCAGGAATTATGATTAGAAAACAGTATCTTCCTGTATCCAAGAATAAGTCAGCTAAAATCCCTTCTGTGTTCAGAGGGATAGCGAATATGACCGAATCCTGTCCTCAACATCTCATATTATCTAGTCCCCAACTCAGTATGCTGGATTCTGTGGAATGTATTTTTAAGTGCCTAGTGCTTCCTCCTGCAGTTACCTAGGGAAACCAGGCACTGAGGTCAAGGCTGTGGATTGCCTCAGGCACATAGGTGCTGACAAGAGATGTGTGTAACAAGCAGTTTTCCAATCCTAAATCCTTTTTCTGTCTAGCCCTACAAGGTCAAAGTTGTCCTCAGGTCTATAAAACTTGAATTAATGGTAGGTATTATGTGACAGTATCCTGCATATGTAAAAGGTCTCATGCCTCAAGAGATTATATTATCCAGTACACATATATTAATCAGGAAAAAAGTAATATTTATTTATAGTTACACTTATGAAGAAAATTACCTATATTAACTCATAAAACTACCAAAAAACCTAATAAAACTTGGATAAAATAATATTAAGACCTGAATATTAAACTATGCACCTTTTTTTGCTAGAACAAGAAAATCACATAATTTTTGTAGAATTATCAGAAAATTAAAGTTTACAACTGTAAACCACAAATTAGTTCTAAAGGCATATTAAAATTAGAATATAATAACATATTCTTACCTCCGATTTCTTGTATAAATTGCTCAGTTCAGATGGTGTCTCTAGACTTTCCTCACATTTTTCTCTACTTTCAACCTTTTTTTGTTTTAACTGATGTGACTGTAGCTTTTCATAACTATGTGTCAACTTTGAAAACTAAAAATGAAAGCAGAGTTGAATATACAGAATCTATCAAAGATGATCACGTGCCCAAAATTTTCTTTAAACTAGAATCGCCAACTGCAGCTTCAGCATTCTAAATATTTAACCAACGTAACAAAGAATCAATTAATAAAGTTGATTTATTAGAGATGAACAAGACTAAGCTGTCATATAAATGGTAACTAACTGTTCGAACAGGTTCATTTGACAGCTACAAGTTCTTTATGGCACTGTTACCCATAGTGTCATTTCCTCTACAATGTTTATATGAAATGTTCTATACTTGTTTACTGCCATCTTGTGTTGACATTTTTAAAGAGTGCTTCACTAGCCAGAATGAGGGATTATCATTAACGTGTTTTAAACTTGCATGGTTCTTTCTAATCATGAAAATTGTTGGAATGTTGTGTATGTGAAGATTGCATTTTTCTGGAATAATTAAGTACCAAAGAGTGTCTCTGAGAATTAGACCCTAAACACTGTTCTGTATATTGATCTTACCACGAAAGCATGGCTTAGGAGTCAGAGGCAAAGGAGTCAGAAGCAGAGAAGGGAAGATACCTGTAGAAGTACCAGTTGCTTCAAAAAAATGACCGTTCTGATCAACAGTTAGCTGTACTACACAAGCAAAGGGGCTAGTGGCTGTTAACAGGTTTGATACAGCAAACTGACACTGTCCGGTAGAGATATGTAGATCTGATTTTGGAAAAAAAAGGAAAACCAGGATATTGACAAAGGAAACACTAAAAATATGGTCTTGAGGGAAGATGAGCAAAAGAACTTTGCGAAGAATGTTGAGTAGAGAAGAAGCTTACAACTATGAATACTGATCATGTCTCTTGTTCTTTTGTTCCTTTAAATTCAGGTATATATTATATGACTTTAAAAATTCTGACTCTAACATAAAGTTCTTTGTCTAACTAAACAAAATCCATAAAATGTCATGTTTTTGTTAACTGCTCAAGTGAACTACTGTCTGGAAAAGAAATTACTTCCAAGGAAGTAATTGGAAATGGAATTGAATTCTATTGAACCAACCTAGAACGAGCAATTGAGGTGTACAGATAACAAACATGGCCAAAGAAGTCCAGAAAAGATGCAGAACAGAAACTGGAGTTAAAAAAACATCTGGAAACTTCCTAAAGACATTTGAGATGATTTTGGGGATTCATAATATGGAACACCAAAAAAGAATTGAAAAGATGACCAGAAGATAGATTGTCCTAGACTAGAAAGTTTCATGAAATGGGGAGGTCCAGGGGTAGATTTGACCAACTTCGAATTTCTGAATAGAAATCCTGTAACATGGACTTACAGAGTGGAGGTATCACCTTCAAAACAAAATCAAAAGTCTCGCAGAGAAGCTGCCTGTATTTGAAATTGACCTTGCCAAAGAACAGTTGAGATAAAATATTTAAAATGGGTCAGAGTATCCAGGCTCAAGCAACACGAAACTCAACATCTTTGGATAAAAATATATCCTTTTTCAAATAACAGGAGTTTTGCTCTTGAAAATATTATGGCATATGTGAACTGCCTAGGAAGAGCCAAATCAGATGAAGACAGGTGTTAGACTGTTCATGCTAAAAAGGCTAGGAAATTCAGGATCCAACACTTCAGCAAATCAGTCTAAAATTGACCAGAATGGCCAAAATGAGAAGACTTAGTTTGAGTATTGGATTTATTTAATGAATTTAATTTCAGACAGATTAAAGTGTGGATGTTATCACAACTGGAAACTAGATTAAAAGTCAAGAATCCTTGCATTTAATGCTAGATATTTACTTTTAAAATAATGTCCCAGTTGTTCTATTTGCATGTCGTACAAGTGAACAAACAAACAAAAAAGATGAGGCATTTTAGTGAGTTCTGTGGTAGAATTCATCTAAGTTCAGATTTCTGAAAGTTAGACATCCAAGCCTGAGCTACTCTGCATTAGAAAAAGCTGCCTCTGAATGCTTAGTCATTTCAGCTATCTTAAATTCTTGTCATACACTGACATGAATTATATTCTAGGGGTGTCCATTTCCCTCCATTGATTCTAAAGGGAGCCTGAGGTAGTTCAGACGTAGCCATCTAGCTGTTAAAAGTCTAAGTGAGGCAATTAGTTGCTGAAGTGCTTAGAGCAAGAACGGATTCTTGTTCTTTTGCTGAGGGACTTCTGTCATTTTGAAAATGAGAATAACTACTGAACATTAATACAGAAAAATAATGAAAGAAAAAAGTAATGAAGATGAACCCCTAAAGTTTTTGCTATTTAATTATGACAAAATGTTGTACGTTTGAATAAGTGCAGCAGCGTGGCCTAAGAGTTTCAGGTTACATATCAGGAATTATTTCCCTAGTACAAGAAAAATACAGGTTTTACTGCATTCAACAGGCACACAATCAATTCAGTGGGAATGTTGCTCATTGAACAGCTGCTTTTATCAGTAGCAAGGGTAAAAAGCATGGAGGACCACAGAAGCAGTATATCAGAGAGAAATTTGTACTGAGTAGCCTAGCACTCTGAGAGCTAGAAAAAGTGATCCTTTCTATTTCTGCCAAGATTAGGAAGGAACAAAAATTGTGAGGGATTTTAAGAATACATCTGCAGAGAAAGATACAATGCTGCTGGTAAATAGTAACACACCATTTGTGCAAAACTAAATTGTAGCTCTTAGGATTATACAGTGTAGAAGGAGGTATAACTTTCAAGTGAGGATAAGAAGCAAAAGAAGGGAGACAAAGGAGATAATGCAAAGATTAATATTGTCAGGGAAGCTCTGTATTTTAGATATGAGTTTGTGCAGGTGAGAATTGGGGACATTAGAGTAATTCTATTGTAGACACTGCAGCACTATAATTTAAGAAAGAAACTCAGTAAGGATGTGGTGAAAGCTAGAGAAGCAGAGTGGGATAGTCCTACTGTCTAGCATAGATGCTTGGAATTGTTCTAACATGCAAACTTTCGGTTTATCACGCTGACAATCTAGGCAGTCTCCTAACTTAGGCACTTAACAGTTTACTTCTTTAGTCAATGTGTACTGGATGGATATTTCAGGAACAAATACAGTTTGGTGAAAGGAGAGGAATGGGAATCGAAAAATCAAATGCAAATGGCATCAGTGCTGGAGCCTTTGGTAAAATAAATAGGATGACTGAGAAAGAAGGAAATGTTTGGAGGCATAGACTGGGAAATTGTTGTATATTCTTAAGAGCTAGAAAACCAAACTTCTTGCATAAAGACAAAAGAAGAAGCAATCAGGAAACTCAGAGAAAGGTTAGGTGGTCTGAGTGGTAACTAAAAAGGAGAATCTTGGCAAGAAGTACAACCAGGTTTACAGAGAGAAGCTTTGTAGGTTAGGACATGTCAGATTCTTTAAAAAACACAAAGAGAAAATAGATTGTATTTGCCTATGAAAGGACTTGTAGGGTAATTAATAATTTAAAAATCAAAATCTTTATGAGAAATGATGTGGAGTTTCAACTTCAGAAAGTTCAGTTTCAGTGAAGATCTTAGCAACAATATGTAACATAAACTGAGTAATTTTTAGGATGTGATTAAAAAAAATTTAAGAAGTGAAAAATATTGCAGCAAATGTGAAAAAGGATGAGAAAAGAGAGATCTGCTGTGTTTTGAGGGATAGTTCTGCATTGCTAAAGGTATCTTACAACTTAGATGTAAAAAGTCACACCATTTTTCAATGTATGATGTTTATCTTCTCAATAATTGTGCTAAGATGTTGTTTCTTTTTCTGTAATTTCTGTAAATTATAAAATAGCTTTTGTTTCTAGCTACTTTCCCAAATGATTAAAAGTGTTAATTACATAACAACCAAAACATTCTCTGGTTACTCACAGAACTGTTTGCCAAATTGATTTCCATATATAAAAGAAAAAACAAATTAAAGACAACATAACCTTAAAAATCAGTTATACATTTATTTGTTTGATGGATTTCAGTGGTAAATGTTATTACCTCTAAATGAAAATAATGATATCCAATTTATGCAATCCAAGATGATTCTATGATAGGTGTGATTATTGGAAATTTTTAATTATAACAGTAAATCTCTGGTAGGAGAATCTAGTGAAGGAAACAGCAGAATAGTGGGAAAAACAATGCAGAATTGTGTATGTTAACTTGTTAAAATCTGAGAAGTAGAATAGGCTGAAGTTCGCTAAGAATTTAGATTCATGACTAAAGTGGAAAATAATGAAGAAACAAAAATACAGGCACAAAGCAAACACAGTCAAAAAGAATCATAGAATCACAGAACCATAGAATTATTTGGGATGGAAGGAACCTTTAAAGATCATCTATTGCAACCCCTCTGCTGTGGGCAGGGACACCTTCCACCAGACCAGGTTGCTCAAAGCCCCATCCAACCTGGCCTTGAACACTTCCGGGGAGGGGGCAGCCACAACTTCACTGGGCAACCTGTGTCAGTGCCTCATCACCCTCATAAAAAAATAAATTTCTTTCTTATGTCCAATCTAAATCTGCTCTCTTTCAGTTTAAAACCCTTGCCTCTTCTTTTATCATTACAGGTCTTGGTAAAAAGTCTTTCTCCATCTTTCTTACAAGCCATCCTTAAGTACTGAAAGGCCACAATAAGATGTCCCCAGAGCCTTCTCTTCTGCAGGCTGAACAACCCCAACTCTCTCAGCCTTTCTTCATAGCGGAGGTGTTCCATCCCTCTGATAATTTTTGTGGCCCTCCTCTGGATCGGCTCCAACAGGTCCATGTCTTTCCTGTGCTGATGACCCCAGAGCTGAAGGCAGTACTGCAGGGGGGGGTCTCACCAGAGCAGAGTGGAGGGGGCGAATTATCTCCCTCGACCTGCTGGCCATGTTTCTTTTTATGCAGCCCAGGATACGACTGGCTTTCTGGGCTGCAAGTGCACTCTGAAATAATTAAAGCCAAAACAAATTCCCAATGTCAATGATCTAGGTTACTCTAGTTTTGATACTATGTTCCCTTATGGAAAGCTATCAGACCACTTTAATCATCCCTGTAAATCAGGCAAACTAAAACCAGAAAAATTTATAGCAGAGACATGATGAGAACAGTTTAAGTCTTAAAATTTCTAATGTGCATCATAGTCTTATTAGCATGAATCTAATTATCTATTTTATTCATTCACCAAGGTTTTAGTTTGTTAGTCCAAAGTCAGGAAATCAAGTATCTGTCTTCATAACACATTACAAACACATCAAAATCCATCCAAAGAGTTTGGACCTGTCAGTACAGAAATGGTAATGAAGCCTGGTAGGAAGCTGTGGTCATCATCATTTGTATGACATGATTCATCTTTCCCACATCCATAAAGGTACATCTATACCATTAGGCATATATAAGCTTTTTATACTGCAATCATAAAATAATGAAACTGACATTCTTCTTACCTGAGCTTTCAGTGCTTGAAGCTGAGTTTCATAATTCTGAGCCATTTCATATTTAGTTTTCTGTAAGTCTTCCAGTTTCTGTCGAAGTAGTCCCACCTAGAGTTGGAATAAGCATTTTGATTTACCTTTTCTGAAGTGTTCCAAAATATATTATTTTTGGAATAGTCATTTGAAAGTTTGAAAGAAGACCATTGCTTAAAAGATAATTATTAAAAATATATATTTATTCAGTAACTTAATAATAAAACTGGATACCACAAATCCAGATTGTGTCAACATCGTTAGGGATTTTATAGTAAAAAATCTCATTGTATGCTTATGTTATGATGTAACGATAATACTGCACGAATCTGTCATTAAAGACCATTTAATGAAAGCATTTCTGACGCAACTATATGAATGAACTTCTGTGCCCAGTTGTGAAAATTTTGCTTGAATGTCTTACATAATCATATAAATGACTTGCAATTACTTATGTACAAATTATCAGGAGCCACTGTAGACTCATTTCAGCTCCCTAAGCACACTGCCGTTTGAGATATCTTGAATTATCTGAATTTCACAGAGATCTGAGAAATATGACAAAGAGCATACATGACACCTATGTTTTTCTGGAGGGGCAGCTGGAACCTAGGTAGAATATGCTAAAATATTTCAGATAACATCTCTGTACAGGCAAATCAATTGATGCTTTAAATATTGGTTAGCTGAATTATTCTCCTGGCTCCTCTGACTGCAATGACTAAAGGCAAGTTCCTAATTGCTTATTACAGAGTTATTTCATTTTCAAAACTCCCACTGGCAGTTTAGACACCTAGCTCACCCAAGGATGCCCGTGTGTAAGCATCTAAGTTCAGACGTCTTGAACTAGAAGTGAATGCTGTGCTAGGATTTACTTCTGAATGAATATTCAGCAGACAAGACTGTGAAGTACGGACAACTTCAGGTACACTGGAGCTTTCAGTTTGATAAGAAGTCTAAGTGGTAATACAATACGAATCTTCACTACTACTAATAAAATTATCACACAAAGAGAGTATGTCATGTAAAATGATAAAAATCAGGTATAAACAGGAATTACAAAGACTTAATTTTGTGAAACTTTTTGAACTGTACATTTCCATTTAAAATTTTTGATGAAACTGGAAGTGTTGGCGTTTAGAAAAAACATCAAATCATCTTTTTACAGCTAAACTGAGAATATTTGATTTAGACTTTAGGGAAATAGAAGTAATATGAGACTTCCAATGACATTTTTACAATCACTTTTCAGAACTGAAGCACACTTTAAAACAAAACACTAAGGATAATTAGTGACCTTTAAAAGATGTTTGGTATTTTTACATGATAGAACAAACAGGTCATCTTATAGAGCATTTAGAGCATACTATTAACTAACTACCAGAATAAATACTTTCTTTATAGAACGTGATATTCTTAAATACCTCTTGACCTTTTTGATCCAGTTTGCTTTGGGCACTTGCTAATTCTTGATCCTGGATATCCATCTTTGCTTCTAAAGCTTTCATCTTCCTTTCACATTCCAGTTTCTTGCTGTTTACCATGATGTCAATTTGATGCACTAATTCCTGAAGTTCAGCTTCACATGAAGAAGCTCTAATAATATAAAAAAGATATTTATTTTTTCAAATAAAGAATAAGGGAGAAAACAAATTTTTATTTACATTGCTAAGATTTTATTTTAATTCTGATGGAAATAACCACTTTTCAACATCAGAAAGAAAGAAATGGGAAAGCTAAATGATGCCTTCAAATGTAGGTGGAATCTCACTTCACCTATCTTAAGTCTTCCTGAAGTCAAAATCAGAGTATTTAGCATATTCAGGACTATTTGCCTAGCTTAAATGCTGTTTGATATTCTCTCACTCTTTCAGGGATGAACTGTCAAATAAGCATAAGTTGAGTTGAAAGTATCCAGGCCCAAACCTCAATGGACAAGAGTAGGAGAAGTTGAATATTAAGTTGCTTATGGGCACAGGACTTCGCACTAGGGGTACATATTGATGAAAGCAGAGTTTGTTGGAGGAAGTTATTCAACAGCTGGCATGAAAGCGAGCCACAATTCTTAATTGCTTGTTCAACTTTTACGCTCTGTTTTCTCATTCCATTTGTGGAAAATGACTTAAATAACAAGGTGACTTGTATAATAATAATAAGTTTTTATTCCACTAGGAAGCACAGAATTGAGTGCATTTTGAAAAAGAACTTGTCTTTGGGGGACCGTGTGGTGGATTTCATAGAGATTTGTACAATATCTGCAACATAAACATTAGATATTTTCCCAAACTTCTGAGGTTAAATTTGGAATACATCCCTTACACCTCAACTTCATTGTCAGTAATAGACAATGATTTACATCGTTACTTTAGGAATATGATGTGTCCTAAGTAACAAAATAACGGTATATGGTTAATTTATGGTGTATTAGACGGGCCGACAGAAACTGAAAGCAAAGTTGCCCTTTCAGTTGCCCTTTTATACTGTCCCTTATATAGGAGCAACATATTAATTTAAAAAAAATGAAACTTTGTCTGGACAGTGTCAAACAATGTTGAAATCAGCTGATATATACCATTTAGCAGATATATACGAAGTATCTGAACTTGAGTATGGAGATTTCTTTATTCCATATCCATCCTAACTTTATATATGATGATTTTACGAATATATTAAAAAATATATAGATTATAGAAAATTTGGCTCTGGATAATTTTATACGCAAGAAATTGCATAATACTTTAAACACTCTAAAACTTTTTATTTGTAGAAATGTCTATTTCATATCAAAATTATAAAGTCCTTCAAGGGTATATGAGATTTTTTTCCTGAAGTATTTTTCACAGTTTATTGCCCAGTTACCTTCCATTGTTTTATGAACTGCTAGCTTCTCTCAATCTGTAAATCTACAGCTGGCATTTCAGATTTGCAACGATTTATTTAAATTCAGAATCTTTCTAGAACTCATAGATCTGTTCAACTTCCAGTGAAAATTGTAGTTAGAAAAAAATTTTATAATCAAATAAAACTGTTTACTGAAATGCTCCTGAACCTTTTATTTTCCTGACTTACTGCTTCTTATCCACTTAACCTAGGATTCTAGAGTTTGGGAAAAAGATAAAGGAGACAATGTACACTTCTGCCTAATTCCTCTCCGTAAAATAAAGAAGGGGAATTTTATTCCATTAACATTCAGAGCTGCCTTTGGACTGTTACAAAGAAGACTTAGCTATTGAACAAATTGCTTAACTATGTATATGAGCCCATAAATTTTCTATAAAACTTAATTTTCATCAAGTCATATGGAAAAAAAATCAGCCTATTTTCTATCACTATGATTAATTACACATCGCCAAAAAACATCTGTTCATTGTCAATCCTTAAAGACTTCAATTTATTCTTAGTTTACTTAAATTGAAATACTAGATCAGAATTGAGATACTAGTTCAGATGGTATTTTTATAAAAGCCTTTAGCAGACCTACCACTGTAATACTTGCTTCATGTCATTTATTGAAATAAATTATTTTTATCAACTTCATTTGTTTTTTGAAAATAACACAACTTCTAATCACTTTCAGCATGTTCAGAGCTCATAGGATGTTGGATATAGACATTTTTATACTAAGTACAAAAAGAGGCACGTATCTCACTGGAGTGAAAGAAAACCTTTCACTGACTGTTTTTAGCCAGTGGAATGATGCACTGAATTTTTAAACTTTAGAGGAGTAGCATCTCTTCCGTTTCACTTTCTGTAAACATTTACTTTCTGCACAATTTTTTTAGTGGCATCTGTTCTCTGCATATCCTGTTCTCACATGAGTTAACTGTTGACAAACTTTTCAACTTCTTTTCCACTTCTCTTTTAGAACTTTTTAAATACCTTTCTTGTTTCCTGTTCTAGTTGTAATTGCTTTACTTTTTTTTTTCCTGAATAAGAGATTCTATTTATAAATTACTCTAACATACAGCTTTATTACTTTCTTTAGAAGACATACTTTTATTTTATCTTTATCATATATTGGAATCTATTGAAATTTGTCATCTTTAGTTGTTGCAATCAAATCTTGGCCATGAAAAAAAATTCTTATTAAAAATCTTCAAACTACTCTCTTCAATGCTATAATCTGATCTTTGTGAAAATTTCCACAGTTTTCCCTCTGTAACAATTTACATAGCAGTGCATCCAATTACTGCCATATCTAAATGAAGGTAGAAATAAAACCGATGTTATTTCTCCACTGCCGACTCTCTCTCCCTTATCTCAACCAGTAATACTGTTAGTAAACTGTTAGTGGTACACCTGCTTTCTCTTCACTTTTTTCATCTGTCATAGTGACTATTCATTGTACAACTGAGGTTTAATCTGCATTTCATTTCCATTTCCTCATACTGCTGCATAATTTTCAAGTGTCTTCTTTGGTTTTTTTGGTTTTGATTAGAAGCCTGTATTGAATTTCCTGTCGATAAAACCAACAATTGTATTCTTTCATAGATCTGTTAACTATCCCTCCTGATATCTAAACTGATGCAAAAAATTTATTGTAAGCTATTACTTTTCATGATAATAAATTTAGCCTTCTTATAAACAAGTTTCTTCACTTAAAATAATCTAAGAATGCTGTGACATTGAGTTATGACATACTCCATTTTCCTTTTAATAATATTATTTATCTCACTGACATTTTCCGCAAAGTAAAAGTGATAGCCACTGGTTATAATTTAATTGGTTCTTTGGTTGATAAAAAATCAAAAGCTATGTATTCTCTTGACTGCTGATGGTACACACCCCTGTGTGCACCTCTGCGTGCACATAAAGTGCCTTTATGATCGCTAATCAGTTTGCAGTCATTCTGATATCTCTGTGGCATGACGGTTTGTTAAAATGAGCATAGCTATTTCCTTAAAATGAGCATAGCTGTTATTTTATGAAATAATTGCCATAGAGACAGTCACACAAAGACAAAAGATGGTGCAGCATCTGAATAATTTAGCAAGAACCTATGGAAGGGTTAATGATAAAAAGCACAGCAGTATGCCTGTAACTATTCCATCCTAGGAAGTGTTGGAGAGGATTTTAATACCCGAAATTAGCACAGAATGTCATTTTGTGTCACAAACATTACAATCTGGCATATGTTTTTGGGGGACATCGCAACCAAGTATGTGCCAAGCAATTAGGAACTCTACTTTAGCAGAACTGCACGTAACCAAACACAAACTGAGCCATGCGCTCAGAGGTAACATCCCTATTGCCAGTGAGCCTTCAACTGCTGAGCGTGCTGCCAGCACATTGCTGAAGAATGGTAAGCTAACTAACATGCTCCTCTACTGTAAATGACTGTGCAAACCGAGCCTTAATGTAAGCAGATGCTCTTACTCCTGGTAGTTGATACCACCATCTTGTGTGAATGCTAGCATGAAAATGCTTCCTTGCTTTCTGGTAATCTTTCACATCCCAGCTGTTCAGCCAGCTCTCCGAATGTCTGCCCTCCCAGTGCCCATGCAGACATACTGGAGTCCTCCATCTGTAGGCTGTGCTCTGGGTCGAGCACCGGTCCCACACACTCTGCGTTTCATATCCTGCACACTCAACTTCTGACTGCACTACACTAAAAAAAGAGTTCCTTAACACAGATATGTGTTTATTGCATCTCTCTTTTTTGGTGCTTGAATGGTGCATACCCCTTGTTTTGATAATTATTACAGGAAATTGGAGAAAATTTGTTAGATTTACAATATCATAATTAAAACATAACATGATTTTTTAAAGTAAAATTCCTTATATTTTTTTATATCGACAAATCCTTGAAACTTTAACATTATCAATGTTAAGCTTGGAAAGGCTTTTAAAATACACACATAAATCTTAATGGCTTTTTAATCTTAAAACTGTTAGCAATGCCATTTTCAAATGTAATATGAGTCATAGAATGATAATAACCAAAATGCAAGCAAGTAGTACACCATGATGTTCATACCGTGAAACAAAAATACCCCTCGTCCCAAGTGCCTGAAACTCATCTCAAATTAGCATTAATCACAGAATTACAGAATCACAGAATTGATTTGGTTGGAAGAGACCTCTGAGGTCATCAAGTCCAACCTTTGCCCTAACACCCCCATGTCAACTGGACCATGGCACTAAGTGCCGCCACCAGCCTTTTCTGAAACACCTCCAGGGATGTGGACTCCACCACCTCCCTGGGCAGCCCATTCCAATGCCTAACGACCCTTTCTGTGAAGAAAGGCCTCCTCATTTCTAGCCTAAACTTCCCCTGGCGCAGTTTGAGACTATGCCCTGATGCAGTAAACTTTGATTCCCTCTGGCTAGAATACAAAATGAGATTTTAAAAACAGAAGATGAAGCAATACTGCATCAGAACTACCTTTTCTTTGATACTGTTGTAAGGACCTGTGCCCTTGCAGCCTCATGTAATGTCAGGTGCCAACACTATAGTGAACCACCAGCAATGACTCAGGTATCTCATTTTAGCCTTCAGAAATAGGCACTTTCTTTATTGTGCGTCACATGGATCATCTAAATACTGTTATGCAAGTGCAAATGCAACCTCTAGCCTGGATCACCAGGTTACCCTTTCAGATCCACCATGGTTGACATCTTTTCCTGGTACGTTTCACCCGTCTCCTTCATATCAACCCGCACCAGTCAAGTTATGCAGCTGCTAGAAAATTTTCTCTCAACAGTTCTTGCATGCTTCTTGAACCTAGAACCACGAATATATAAAAGGTAGCTGTTGAGGGAAACCCCCCTTCTGAAACAGCTTCTCAGTCTATCTTCACCTTCTTTGTCTAATTCCTTACATAGGTCCTCTAGGTACACCTGCAGCTGAAAAAGGAAAGCTGTACCTGAACTTGTAGATTTCTGCTGCTGTTCTACTACCAGAGCTACTCTGTATCATGGCTGTGGTATTACAAACAGATCAGCATAAAGATGTATCTGGCAATTATCCCCACCTACTAGTACAGAGGTGCTACTAGCTGCTGTAACTATTATTTTAGTCCATTCACTGTTTGAAAAGAGTGCTAACTATCCCTCTCAGAATATCGCCAATCATATGGTATCACAATCATGAGAATTAATTTTGATCACTGCATGTAGAATGCAGAAAACTCTGGTACCTTTTGTTTAATATGCCATCAAGTAAACAAACCCACAGAGAACAAGTTTTCCCGTAAAGCAAAGAAGTATGCATATGGTTTTTTACTCATATGAATTCAGCATTC